GGCTGAAAACTGAACAAGCGATAGATAAAGTAAATTCAAACTAGAAGGTTCACTGAAGCTAAATTTAAAATGGGCGATAGCCTTTCTGTTAGCGAATGTGTAACTCACGTTTATCAAGCTGCCCGTGATGGTTCTTCTAACCTGACTGATATTTTAAAGTGGCTGAAACCTGGACAAAGTAAAACCGCTTTGGAAACAAAAACTAAAGATGGCAGCCATTTTGCCACTCCTCTCATCATCGCTGCTCGCAATGGACACCTGAATTCTGTGAAGATTCTTCTAAGATATGGAGCAGACATCGAGGCTCGAGGAACGCTGAAGATAGAGAACGATGTTATAGAGGGTTGTACACCTTTGTGGGCCGCTGCTGCTACTGGTCATCTTGATGTTGTGAAACTGTTAATCGAACGAAATGCAGACGTTGAAGGTAGAACACTAACGAATTCGACTCCATTGAGGGCTGCTGCCTACGATGGGTACCTTGACGTTGTGAGATGTTTGGTTGAGAGCGGAGCAGATGTGAATGCACGAAATTTCTATGAGCGCACCCCACTAGACGTAGCGTGCTACCGCGGCCACTTAAGTGTTGTTACCTATCTTATTAACAAAGGCGCCATTATGGATCTGCAATGCAATAATGGCAACACTGCACTTCACAGCGCTGTTGAAGAGAGCCACTTGGAGATTGTCAATCAACTTTTGGCTCTTGGAGCATCACAACTGCCAAATAATCAAGGTTTAACACCTCTTCTTTATGCCGGTAATAAATGTTCCATTGAAATCGTCGAGTATCTTATCAAAAGACCGGAATGTACAAAGGAACACAGAATTGATGCTCTTGAACTTCTTGGTGCCACCATTGCTAATTCCCGTGACAATGTCAAAGCGTTTAGTTATATGAAACGTGGAATGGAGGAGAGGTATGAAGACCTGGCACATCCATTGCTTAAAAAGAGAATGGAACCTGTGGAAGCTTACCAAAATAGAAAAGAGAGTCAAACTCTTGAGGAACTTGCTCTGTTAGAAGGTGATGCTCATGCTATCGGCATGGAAGGACTTCTCAGCAAAGAGAGAATTCTTGGGTCTGAAAATCCAGCAATTCGTTACTCAATCAGATACCGGGGAGCTGTTTTAGCTGACTCTGAGCAGTACGAGCTTTGTTTTGGTTTGTGGAAACGAGCAATGGAGAACGCCACGAACAACGATGTTTCGATAATAGGAGATCTTGGATCCTACACATCTGCATTTGGAGAAATGGTAGAAAAAGGAATACTTTTAAGACCAAACTTCATTGAAGACGCATTTGAAATACTAGTTGCTGTAAGTGAGAAACGGACAGAAAAATTACAAGAGGGGCATGGAAACGAGGAGCTAAAAGACACGCTTTATTACGCTCTCTATCTTTTGATGATATACACTAAACTTAAAGTTCAAAATGCCAACATGACTGACTTTCTTCAAAGATTCCTGCGTTTAAACCTTAGTTGCAGTGATGGAAATACTCTGCTGCACCTAGCTGCGTGGCACGAAACTCCAATTAAAGAAGACAATGTGCGAAGTGTGTGCAAGCTTCCCTGTGTTGAGACCATGAAGCTTATTTTACATGCAGGGGGGAATGTAAATGCCGTTAACACCGAGGGAAACACACCTCTCCATCTAGCTGTGAAGTATAAACCTGCTGAGCCTAAAGATGTCGAGAGTTTGAGAGAAATGCTGATGTTGTTGTTAGATATCGGTGCAGATCCAAAGCTAGAAAACAAAAATGGTCAAACACCACTGCACAGCTGTGAAACTGACGAGGCTCGTATGATCCTGTCCGAGAAAAGAGGACTGA